TAGTCAGGATTGATAACATGGCCAAGTCAAGATTGACAACATGGCCATGCTATCTTGGCCAGGTCAGGGTTGATAACATGGTGCAGTCAAGATTGATAACATGGCCAAGTCAAGATTGATAACATTGATAACATGCTCAGTCAAGATTGATAACATGGCCAAGTCAAGATTGATAATACGACCATCCAATCTTGGCCGGGTCATGATTCAATGTTGACCGAGTCAGGATTGACAACATGACCATCTATCTTGGTCGGTCATGATTGCATTGCGCCAGGATATATTACTTCCAAACGCAGTCAAGATTTCTTCAAGCGTCAATCCTGGCCAAATGTCAAGCGTCAATCTTGGCTTAGTCATGATGTGTTTTTCAAACGCAGGCAAGATTTATGGTCATGATTGCATTGCGCCAGGATGTATGACTTCCAAGCGCTGTCAAGATTGCAAATGTAAGCGCTTCCTTAACAACGAAAACCCGCTAAAAAATGTGTATTGTGCTCCTCAGCTGACAGTGACAAATAGCGTAAGTACAGGTGAAATTTTCCTTGTAAATCTTTATGAATATCTTAGTTTGTTGTTCTAATTATGTAGTTTATGCAATGTTTCTTTTAAATAAGTGACATGAACAGCATTTCTAATAATCGAAAACATTCTGCAGTTTTCATCGAGGAAATTCGAATTTGTGTATCGACAAATTAGAATTATTCCGTGAAATTATGAACATAAACAATATGGTTTCGTATATTATGATCCATCCGTTAAGAATCAAGTTGTTTACAATAGTTTCCTAAGAATCTACGTATTCTCAAGTGCAAATTACTTTCAAACTTTTGGGATGTAAAAACGGAGGGGGTGGACTTTATCCTGTTAATCTACATACCGATAGACTGTGCATTATATTTTACAATATTTCAATTTATCATTTATTTACTTTTCTTCTCTTAGTACTAGGTTGCAGTGACTAGGTTGTACTGAACCATCAACAAAACTCCAGATCCATGGCGCATACAGTTTTAAGATTGGTTATAGATCTACAGGTAGGTATATTCTTTCATGTCTTGTAATTAATTTGGGGCAAATACTAGTATTTTAAAGTTGAATTTTTAATCATGATTTGTTGAGAACAGATATTTGAAAATAATTAATCCTTTTTTATTACTTGCAGATAATTTACCTAACTAATTCATCCATATTAAAAATTTAATAATATACTATATATTTATAGTATCTCAGATTGACACATGCTGACAGGAGTCTATGGCTATGGGAACCATTTAAGAATGTGCAGGTGAAGGTGGTACACTTCATTTCAATCGCATCTTTCGACAAGCGAAAGTCCATGGCCTACCTGGAAAGAGTTTTTTGGCACCGAGACAACCTTTTTCCAAGGTCAAGGTCAAAGATCAAAGGCCAGAACTTATATCAGCTGGAAAGACACCACATTGGGTATTGGATTTGTATTTTTATATCCTCTTTTTTTTCATTAGCTTAAGTGATTTTTTCATTTTGTAATTTTTAATTTACAAACACTCGGTGATGTTAATGAAGATGCAATTGACTATTCATTTAAAAGCATTTCATAACTACAACTTGGCTATCTACATTCAAAACAAACAATCATTTATAGTTGAAATACAGATATATTTTGTTTCCAATGTCAAGGTGAAAGATCAAAGGCCAGAACTGATGTTAGCTGGAAACATACCACATTGTGTGGATTTGCAAGATATTTAATCAATGCACCAGTTTCAAGTTCAAAGGTCAGTAATAAATTGACAACTTGCATTTTTAGGTCACCTGAGTAAACTCAGGTAACATATCGCTATCCTTTTTCATCCGTCCGTCGTTGTGCACTGTGCATTAACATTTGAACATTTTCAGCATCTATTTAAGAAATAAAGTCCGCCAATTTCGTGAAATTTGGCAGAAAACCTCAATGGGTCAAGAAATGTTGTTTGAAAGACAAAAGCCGAGGCGTTGGCTGAGGCTTTTATATTTCAAACAACATTTCGAGACCGAGGAGGTTATTCTGCATCATTCACGACAACAAGGACTTTATTTCTATTCTACCATGTATGGTACAAACGCTAAATTAGGGATAATCGTTTCCACTATAGAGAAACGAATTAGGTCACCAACACCAGAGGTAAAATTTGTTTGCTTACCTGTACATAGAATGTAGACGATTTGAGCTTTCGTTACATTAAAAATAGCCTTTTTAAATTACAAATATGTTCGTTATATGTATTGATCAGTTAAAAAGAATATACAATAACAAAATCATGTTCCTGTTATACTGCTAAAATCACGTTGTTTAATGTGTAGGGAGGTCCGTGGAATAGCCCCGCTTAGCTATAAAAACCGACATTCATCAGCAACTTGATGCAATTTACAGTGTTTATACTGCAAAAGACGACACATTGATGCAATCTAAACAAGCATTTCATTCTACAGCCAAACATGCATTTGAATTGTTAAGATTTGATACGTGTTTCTGATCTGATAATTTTTTGATGACGTTCGTGATTTATTGGATTTTAATGTTTTTCCTTTATTTTACGATAATCGTGGTAGAATTCTCTGCAACCACTCCTCCAATTTCAACCAAATTTGGCACAAAACCTCAATGGGTAAAGGGGAACAAAAATTGTGAATTTCATGGTCCATGCCCTGCTGGGGCCTGAGGGGTGGAGCCAAAACCACTAAAAAAAAGTGCAATCTTTAAAAATATTGAATCTTCTTCTTTACTTCGAGACATTAAGTATCAATCTCTTGGCATGATTGTAATCTGAGCATTGAGTCAGTATACCAAAATTGCTAAATTCACGGCCCCAAGGTCATGGGTACTAGTGCTAGGGTGGGACTAATAGGTTATATAGTGAAAATGTATTATTTCTCTAAAATCTTTAAATAACTAACCAAGTACATAGTTACGTTGAATGAAATAAAATAAAATTGCGAATTTTATTGCCTGGGTCAGGGGTTTTGGTGTTAGGGCGGGGCTCTATTGATTATATAGTGAAATTGCAATTGAAAATCTTCTTCCCTGCACTTGGGCACATGTATTGAATAAACTAACCAAACACAAATTTATGATGAGCAAGAAGTCTCCCAAAAATGTGAAGTTCATGGCCCCAGGGCAAGGGTTCTGGTGTAAGGGTGTGGGTCTATTGATTATGTATGAGAATACACTAATATTTTAAACAATTTTCCTTTGCTCCTGTGTATTAAACCAATAACGTTGTTATGATGAGGAAGGATGCCTCTTCATGGCCCTGGGGTCAGGGTTTCTGGTGTAAGGGGAGGGGCTCTAATGATTATATACATAAATGCATGAATTCTATTCCTTTTCTCCTGGGTATTATGCGATTTGATCTAAGTACATATTTTAGATGAAGAATGTTGCTTCTTCCAAAATGATATATGTCAGAATCATTGGGTCAGGGGTAATGGGGGAGGGGAGGGGGGGGGTACATATTCTGAAAATAAATCAATGCTTTGAAATCTGCTCTTTGGTATTAATCAACCATTTATGATGAGTGAAGAAATGTCTTTTTAAAAATTTTGAAACATGTGGCCCCAGGGTCAGTGTTTCCTGTGGGGTGGGATGCAAAACTGGTTATAAAGTGAAAATGCATTTTCTTTTTGTTACTCTGATATAACTCTGGGTATTAAGTAACCAAAGTAAGCATGCTAAGTGTATAGTTATAATAAGCAATGGTGCCTCTTTCAAAATTGTCAATTCCATGGCCTCTGGTTTAAAACACAAACCAAATTCAATTGTTGGAAAGTTGTTGCATGATTCTTAGGTGACCTATAAGGTCCATTAGCCTCTTGTTATTTTTCAATAATTATGTGTACATATTCTATCAAAGGCTATCAAGAGCATTCATTTGAATTTGAAATGCTAACTACACTGAAAAAAGATAATTTTTATATTTTACATGATTGATGTGGAAGTCTGGATGTTTAGCTATGCCAGTGGTTTCATTTCCTGTGGATATTATGTGGACATTGATGGCCATTGGGTGCTTGGTGCAATGCAATAATGACATTTTGTAGACTGTAGAATTCACTTGCAAATTATGACAAGTGATTGCCTTGGAAGAACAATCTGAGTTTAGCTAGTTTTAATTTTTTTTAAATCAGTATATTTCTGTCAAAATTTTTATGCTGATGAGAGCTATTAAAATGCATAAATATTTTTTATCTTGACCTTTTTTGAACTCACTTTTCTCAAATTTGTTTTGTATAGATTCAAAGAAACTTTCAGATTGTCTTTTTTTCCCAAAAGCTAAAGACAGGATACAATATCAACTGTGTCCATTTTTTACCTTGACCTTTCAAGTGCCCTTTGAATTTACATGTATTTTTTGTTGTATATTAAACTCAGTTTATTCAGTCTTTTCAAACTTTTTTTTCATCTTTATATGCTAGTCAAATACAAATTTTCTTATTGCATTAATAGTTAGTTTTCATATGCTGTGCCCGTCCTTAAGAAGAGACCTTGTGCATAAATCGAGGTCTCGTGTCCAGTAGGTGCTGGCAAGAAAAAGATCCCTCCCTGCTCAATGGCCTGAGTGCCCAGTATACTACAAAATTTGCAGCTCTCCACTGGCAACTGGTGGCATCTCCATATAAGTGAAAAATTCTCGTGCAGAACATTAAACCAAATCATATGATTGTTAAAAGGGATATCAAAACTGGTTTGTTGATATTTTTCATTTATTGTATTGTCCCCTGCTTTCACAAAAGTGAAGGGACATTAAATCTCATTGGTTTGTCAGTCTATTACCTGTGACAAAACTTTTCTAAATACATTATGATTTGTGACCTTGAAGTTTGACCTACTTTTCACAAACTTTAACCTTGATCATGACTTTTAAATGAGGAGAGTATAAAGAGATAGGGCTTTAATACTAAATCTGTGTAATGCCTGTGACAAGACCTTTCTAAATACAATATGATTTTTATACCCCCCCCATTGAAAAGCGGGAGGGTATATAGTGACATCGTTAATTCCGTTTATCCGTCTGTTACGCTTTGGGGTATGGGCCATCTCTTTTCCTCAACTCCTCTCAAACCACTGAATGAAATTTAATGAAACTTTCACAGAATCTTTATTACATATTGCCATTGTGCACCTCCTATTTTACTTTTTGATCCGACACATATTTTGGGTTTTCCGGCCACACCGCAAACTTGGACTTTGCCTTATAACTATATGGAGGCAGGGGGTATCATTTAGTGAGCTCATCGCTCACAGTACCTGTAGTTGATCTTGTGACCTTGACCTACTCTTCCTTATCTTTTGGTTGACAGGAGATAGGGCTTTCATATTTGACATGGGCACTACTTGTGACAATGTATTTCTGAGCATGCTATGATATCTGACCACATGACCTTCAAGATTGACCTAATTTTCAAAATTATCAACTTTGGTAATAACTTTTGAAAATGAATATGACAGGTCATTATATTTGCCTTTAATAATTTCATATCTGTGACTTGTTATTCCAATTTCTTTTGGTGTTGAGTCTGTTTTTGAGTAGTGAAAAATTCATGATTTCTAGGGGGTGGGGGGGGGTCACTTTTACTTGGTAATTAGTATATATTTATATCCAGACTGCGATTTCAAATGCCCCTCTTCCAGAAGGGAATCAAGGTGCTATTAAGTTGTGAAACCAAATTTGAAACAATATCAACTAAAGAAAATATAAACAAGAAACTAAAACTGGTTGTTCCTTTATGTAGGTTTATTGTGGGTTATTCCAATAGTACATATGCAAACTATGGACAAATGACCACAGACTAATTGTTTTAGTGCTTAATATGAAAAATAATGAGAGAATTTTACTATTTTAAAAAAAGATTTTTTAATTTATTTCTTTGTTTATGCCATTTATGATGAGTGAAAACAAAATGATTTGGTATACATAAAACACATATACATTTCACAAAAGGCACATGTCATGGGCCCACAAAGTTAATTCACATGAGTTTCTTCAGAAAAAATATATACATGTATACTGGGTATTATTTTTTTTTTTTCATTCTTATTCAAAAATTTGATCTTACTTCATTAAAAATGTGTCCTAATAGATATTTGCACTAAACTTGCCTTTTAAAATTTTCAGTCAATTCACTAGATAATTTTTATGACTTATTTCGATTTCTTAAGCCTCTGGTTTAAAACACAAACCAAATTCAATTGTTGGAAAGTTGTTGCATGATTCTTAGGTGACCTATAAGGTCCATTGGCCTCTTGTTATTTTTCAATAATTATGTGTACATATTCTATCAAAGGCTATCAAGAGCCTTCATTTGAATTTGAAATGCTAACTACACTGAAAAAGATAATTTTTATATTTTACAGGATTGATGTGGAAGTCTGGATGTTTAGCTATGCCAGTGGTTTCATTTCCTGTGGATATTATGTGGACATTGATGGCCATTGGGTGCTTGGTGCAATGCAATAATGACATTTTGTAGACTGTAGAATTCACTTGCAAATTATGACAAGAGATTGCCTTGGAAGAACAATCTGAGTTTAGCTAGTTTTAATTTTTTTTAAATCAGTATATTTTTTTCAAAATTTGTATGCTGATGAGAGCCATTAGAATGCATAAATATTTTTTATCTTGACCTTTTTTGAACTCACTTTTCTCAAATTTGTTTTGTATAGATTCAAAGAAACTTTCAGATTGTCTTTTTTTCCCATTTAAGCTAAAGACAGGATACAATATCAACTGTGTCCATTTTTTACCTTGACCTTTCAAGTGCCCTTTGAATTTACATGTATTTTTTGTTGTATATTAAACTCAGTTTATTCAGTCTTTTCAAACTTTTTTTTCATCTTTATATGCTAGTCAAATACAAATTTTCTTATTGCATTAATAGTTAGTTTTCATATGCTGTGCCCGTCCTTAAGAAGAGACCTTGTGCATAAATTGAGGTTCATGTCCATTAGGTGCTGGCAAGAAAAGTATCTTGGCCTGAGTGCCCAGTATACTACAAAATTTGCAGCTCTCCACTGGCAACTGGTGGCATCTCCATATAAGTGAAAAATTCTTGTGCAGAACATTAAACCAAATCATATGATTGTTAAAAGGGATATCAAAACTTGTTTTTTGATATTGTTCATTTATTGTATTGTCCCCTGCTTTCGCAAAAGTGAAGAGACATTAAATCTCATTGGTTTGTCAGTCTATTACTTGTGTGACAAAACTTTTCTAAATACACTATGATTTGTGACCTTGAAGTTTGACCTACTTTTCACAAACTTTAACCTTGATCATGACTTTTAAATGAGGAGAGTATAAAGAGATAGGGCTTTAATACTAAATCTGTGTAATGCCTGTGACAAGACCTTTCTAAATACAATATGATTTTTATACCCCCCCGCTTGAAAAGCGGGAGGGTATATAGTAATCGTTAATTCCGTCCGTCCGTCTGTTACGCTTTGGGGTACCCATCTCTTATCCGCAACTCCTCTCAAACCACTGAATGAAATTTAATGAAACTTTCACAGAATCTTTATTACATATAGCCATTGTGCACCTCCTATTTTACTTTTTGATCCAACACATATTTTGGGTTTTCCGGCCACACCGCAAACATGGACTTTGCCATTATAACTATATGGAGGCGGGGGGTATCATTTAGTGAGCTCATCGCTCACAGTACCTCTAGTTGATCTTGTGACCTTGACCTACTCTTCCTTATCTTTTGACAGGAGATAGGGCTTTCATATTTGACATGGGCACTACTTGTGACAATGTATTTCTGAGCATGCTATGATATCTGACCACATGACCTTCAAGATTGACCTAATTTTCAAATTATCAACTTTGGTGATAACTTTTGAATGACATATGACAGGTCATTCATATTTGCCTTTAATAATTTCATATCTGTGACTTGTTATTCCAATTTCTCGTAGATCTGTTTTTGAGTAGTGATTCATGATTTCTAGGGGGTGGGGGTCCAAGGTCACTTTTACTTGGTTTAGTATATATTTCCAGACACCCCCTCTAGATCTGTGCATGTTGTGCCAAATTTGACAATATAACTGGTTGAGGTGTTCCTTGAGATATGGCCCTTATTCCAATAGTTTATGCAGACTATACAAATGACCACAGACTTTGCTCATTAGAGCTTAACAAAAATAATGAGAGAATAATACTAGTAAAAGATTTTTTAATTTACATTGTTTATGCCAAGAAAACAAAATGATTTGATATACATAAAACACATATACATTTTAGCATGGGCAGGTGAAAAAATAATAATGTATTTCTTCAGCTTTTTCAAGTAAAAATATGAGCTGATTTTTTTATTTTCATAAAATGTGAAAGTTTAATCATCAAATTTTTTATTCAATTATCATATCTCTGTATGCCAAAAAAGACTTTAAAGGACTGGCCTCTTAAAAAAAATTCTGCACCTTCCTGGTTTTGAAAGGCTTCATTTTACTGCAAAATATTCAGAATTTATTCTGAAGGAATAAAATTAATCAAGATTTTTTTAATTTACATAGTTTATGCAAGAAAACATTAATAATAAAACATATTTATAACAAAAGGCACATGTCTTTTCTGAATATTTTTTTTTTTCATTCTTATTCAAAAATATGATCTTACTTCATTACAAAATGTGTCCTAATAGATATTTGCACTAAACTTAGGAAGCTTGAATAATCAATCCACTGAAAACTGACTTATTTATTTCTTAAGCCTCATCATCCTCTGGGTGCAATATTTCGATGAGAATCTTTGCGTTTTTTTTTTCAAAATACTGGTGCCTTTGATCTTTAAAAAAATTCTGCACCTTCCCAGGTAAAAGTTTGATCCCCTTCTATGAACATGCTTCATCTGGTTACCATGATACATGTATGAATAATTCAGAATTTATTCATACCTTAAACCATATAAGCAAAATTTTAAGTATTTAGTTGTAAAATTATCATTAGATAAAAGCGTTTTATATCAAACAGTGGATATGAAGATTGAAACAGACTAACAATGGATATTAATCAGAACATGAGGCCCAAGGCCACATCACTCATCTGTGTACTTTGGGCATAAGTTTCAGCTTTTTCGGCTTAGTGGTTCTTGAGAAATAGGTTTTTTTTAATGATCCCACCCTATTTTTGTCTATTTTTGATAACTTCCCCTTATAAGGGTACTTGGCCCTTTAGTTTAACAATTTTAACTTCATTTTACACAAAGATTTTTTGTATTAAGTTGGGTTAAAATTATTCCAGTGGTTCTTTTGAGAAGAAGTTGAAAATGTGAAAAGTTTACATACAGAAGAAAGGAGAGACGAACGAACAACAGGCGATCAGAAAAGCTCACTTCATGTCTGGAGATCAGTAACAGTTTAAGTCAAAATTTCAATTTTGACATAACATTTTATTTATAACAGCTTTTTCTGTTAGTGGTTCTTGAGAAAATTTTTTTTAATGATTATTTTTGCGATTTATGGATAACTTCCCCTTATAAGGGTACTTGGCCCTTCAGTTTAACAATTTTAACTTCATTTTACACAAAGATTCTTTGTATTAAGTTGGGTTAAAATTATCCCAGTGGTTCTTTTGAGAAGTTGAAAATGTGAAAAGTTTACATACAGAAGAAAGGAGAGACGAACGAACAACAGGCGATCAGAAAAGCTCACTTCATGCCTGGAGATCAGTACAGACTTAAGTCAAAATTTCAATTTTGAATAACATTTTATTTATAACATATACATTATCAAAAATGTGCAGATTTGTATAAATATTCCAATTTATACATAGAGTCTATAGTAATAATTTTGCTTTGTATCATTTTTTTTTTCAAAATCCAGAAGTCTCTAATGAGACTGTAGCTCTACTGGTCTGTATGTGTATAAAAGGAAAAGTGGCACTTGGATTTGACTTTTCAATAGGCAGAAATAAATAGAATTATGTATCTTTGTGTAGTGTACTTGTGCATGTTGTGAACAGACAGACGGACAGCTAGACAGACAGACAGCTGAAAGACGGACAACGGATGCCTTAACATCGCATAATCTCTTATGGTCTCTAACAAGTAGCGCTAATTATATCCCTTTGAAATTTATAAGTCTGCTCTCAGTTTATGGTCTTAATTAGAACCTTTTAGCTCAGGTGAGCTAAAAATTCTCTTGAGCTTAACAGCTCATCTGAGCTGATTTTTTTTGGAAAAAATAACTAAAGGTCTCTTTTTTATATCAATTATCAATATCTCTGTATGCCAAACACACTCTCAAAGGATAGCCTAAGTTTCTGCAACTGGTAAAGGCTTCATTTACTGCAAAAATCTGAAGGAAAAAATTAATCCATTTCAGTTTATATTTTAAAGTTTGCAGAAAAATTAATAAGAAATACTTAAAATCTTTCTTTTCTGAAATTTGATGCTTCCTTTTTCATGCTGATTTTGATGCAATATTAGTTAAACTTGAAATTCAATAACTGTTCCTTATCCTGATTTTTTTTTTGATTTATCTTGATTTCATGAAGTAGGCCTTGATGAAACAATATGAATAGCAAAGATGTAATATGTAAAAATAAATTATCCTGTGCAACATTATATGAAGTGGATAATTTCAAAAACAATCGCTTTTTTTCAAGCAGCCATAAAAAATTATTTCATAATATTTCTAATTTGTGTTAAATGACTTTCCTTTATCTGTTTTCAATTTGGTCTATGCTAATTCTAATCCTTTGATGTGGTCTACAGATGCTGATGGCCAACCTTTTTTTTTTTTTGTTTACTGATCCAAGTAATGCTGTTTTTTTTTTTTTTAAAATTCATGATGATGATAAAAATATCATGATGGTTTTGTAACAAAATTAGTATCCAGCTGGCACTGTAAAAAATTCATTTACTGCAAAAATCTGAAAAGTGAAAAAAAAAATTAATTTTCAGTTTATATTTTAAAGTTTGCAGAAAAATTAATAAAAATTTTAAGTAAAATCTTTCATGTAATATATTAAATTTTTTAAAGGTTTTTCAGCATTTTTTTGTTATAATAAAAGAACAATATTTTTACAAACCTCTAAACTTTTCTGAAATTCAATAACTATTCCTGTTGACACTCCTTTTACTGTATTGACCCATACTGAAGAAAACAAAAAATAAACATGATAAAAATTAACATGAAATAGTTTTCAATATCATACTGGATTCAGCTTTTTGGTAAACAAAATAATTAGTTTGGGTCAGCTAAATTTTAAGTGGTACATGTAATAGGCAAATGAAGAAAACAGGCATTTTTTTGTTAAATTTAGGCCTTAGGGGAATATGTTTGATCGGAAAAGCTTAAGTGAGGGTAGCAAATACAAAAGGATAAAATATAAAATGCAAGTTTTCAATTTATTGTCAATTTATTATTGACCTTTGAACTTGAAACTGGTGCATTGATTAAATATCTTGCAAATCCAATACACAATGTGGTTTGTTTCCAGCTAACTTGAATTTTAACCCCCCAGCGGTCATGATTTGAACAAACTTGAAGCTACGCTACCTGAGGATGATTCTACATGAGTTTCATCTTTCCTGGCCATTAGTGGTTCTTGAGAAGAAGATTTTTAAAGATTTTTCATATATATTACTAAGTAAAACTTTGATCGGCCATTTTGGCCCCACCCTACCCCTGGGGGTCATGATTTGAACAAAATTGAATCTACACTACCTGAAGATGATTCCACATGAGTTTCATCTTTCCGGGCCCAGTGGTTCTTGAGAAGAAGATCTTTCAAAAATGCCATTAATTTTTATCTAATTCATAATTATCTCCCCTTGGAAAAGGGCGTGGCCTTCATTTGAACAAATTTGAATCCCCTCTACCCAAGGATACTTTGTAGCAAGTTTGGTTGAAATGGCCCAGTGGTTCTTGAGAAGAAGATGAAAATGTGAAAAGTTTACAACGACAACGACGACAACGACAGACAACAGACAAATTTTGATCAGAAAAGCTCACTTGAGCCTTAGGCTCAGGTGAGCTAAAAAGAGTATATAAAAATACAAATCCAATACCCAATGTGGTGTCTTTCCAGCTGATATAAGTTCTGGCCTTTGATCTTTGACCTTGACCTAGGAAAAGGGTTGTCTTGGTGCCAAAAAACTCTTTCCAGGTAGGCCATGGACTTTCGCTTGTCGAAAGATGCGATTGAAATGAAGTGTACCACCTTCTCCTGCACATTCTTAATTACTGCAAAATGGTTCCCATAGCCATAGACTCCTGACAGCATGTGTCAATCTGAGCTACTATAAATATATAGTATATTATTAAATTTTTAATATGGATGAATTAGTTAGGTAAAATATCTGCAAGTAATAAAAAAGGATTAATTATTTTCAAATATCTGTTCTCAACAAATCATGATTAAAAATTCAACTTTAATATACTAGTATTTGCCCCAAATTAATTACAAGACATGAAAGAATATACCTACCTGTAGATCTATAACCAATCTTAAAACTGTATGCGCCATGGATCTGGAGTTTTGTTGATGGTTCAGTACAACCTAGTCACTGCAACCTAGTACTAAGAGAAGAAAAGTAAATAAATGATAATTGAAATATTGTAAAATATAATGCACAGTCTATCGGTATGTAGATTAACAGGATAAAGTCCACCCCCTCCGTTTTTACATCCCAAAAGTTTGAAAGTAATTTGCACTTGAGAATACGTAGATTCTTAGGAAACTATTGTAAACAACTTGATTCTTAACGGATCATAATATACGAAACCATATTTGTTTATGTTCATAATTTCACGGAATAATTCTAATTTGTCGATACACAAATTCGAATTTCCTCGATGAAAACTGCAGAATGTTTTCGATTATTAGAAATGCTGTTCATGTCACTTATTTAAAAGAAACATTGCATAAACTACATAATTAGAACAACAAACTAAGATATTCATAAAGATTTACAAGGAAAATTTCACCTGTACTTACGCTATTTGTCACTGTCAGCTGAGGAGCAAATCCAATACACATTTTTTTAGCGGGTTTTCGTTGTTAGGGAAGCGCTTGCATTTGCAATCTTGACAGCGCTTGGAAGTCATACATCCTGGCGCAATGCAATCATGACCATAAATCTTGCCTGCGTTTGAAAAACACATCATGACTAAGCCAAGATTGACGCTTGACATTTGGCCAGGATTGACGCTTGAAGAAATCTTGACTGCGTTTGGAAGTAATATATCCTGGCGCAATGCAATCATGACCGACCAAGATAGATGGTCATGTTGTCAATCCTGACTCGGTCAACATTGAATCATGACCCGGCCAAGATTGGATGGTCGTGTTATCAATCTTGACTTGGCCATGTTATCAATCTTGACTGAGCCATGTTATCAATCCTGACTCGGTCAACATATTGAATCATGACCCGGCCAAGATTGGATGGTCATGTTATCAATCTTGACTTGGCCATTTTGTCAATCTTGACTTGGCCATGTTATCAATCCTGACCTAGCCATGTTATCAATCCTGACCTAACCAAGATAGGATGGCCATGTGATCAATCTTGACTTGGTCATGTTTTCAATCCTGACTAAGCCATGTTATCAATCTTGACAAAGTCAAGATTGAATCATGACCTGGCCAAGATAGGATGGCTATGTTGTCAATCCTGACTTGGTCGGGATAAGATGGCCATGTTACCAATCTTGACTTGGTCAACATTGAATCATGACTTGGTCAGGATAGGATGGTCATGTTATCAATCTTGACCTGGTCATGTTATCAATTCTGACCTGGTCAAGACCTGGTCATGTTTACTTGATATTTGGAAATCATGAAATATATAGAACATGACATTATTTAATCATAGGATTATCATTGAAGATTTAATTTGCACTGAAATTACATTTTTTTTGTTAGTGAAATCGAGGCATACTTTTATCTCTGTCTTTTTGAAAAGTTCAAAAATACACAAGCGTACCTAAAAGTTGTTACTTTATATATTTTCAGTACATGTAACTGTTGACTTGTAATTTAACAGGTGGATTTAAAACATATTATTGACCTTGTCATGTTTAAATCTTGACATGGTCAGGATTGATAACATGACCAGGTCAAGATTTTATTCAAACGATTTTTTAATGTTATGATGTGAATTTTAGGGTTGTACGTTAAAAAAGTTTCAATGTGTAAATATATTTTGATGGAGCAATAACACAATTCATGAAAAAATGTTTCGCTTGCCAAGAATCAATGACTATCTCGCAAAAATAAGGTGTCGCAAAGATTTAGTAATTTTCAGTATTTTGAATCAGTCATTCATGAAAGTAAAATAGATGATAGTGACTTCAAGAGCATTAATAAAATATCAGCTGTATAAATGCATGTGTTCCAGAATCAGTTGAAATCTAATGTGAAACTATTAATATGTAACAGAAGAATTACCATATAAAGTACCATCTTTAATTTCAAACAAGTCTTCGTGGACCTCTAGACCGACAGTTGTCTCTGTAGATTGATTATCTTCTCTGTATCTCCTTTGAAGCTTTCTAAGAAGAGTTGTTTTACCTGCGCCTGCGCATCCCACAATCATTCCTCTTGCACGGAACATCTTAACCTTTTCTTGGCGGAGACTCTCAGCAAATCTTTCTCTGGCACTCAAATCCCATTTCAAAATTTCCTCTGGTATGTTTACTAGATAAAGATAAAGATTTGTAATTCTTTATATTTTGTAGTATTTGATAATTACGATGCCTAATTTTCTCTCTGAAATTGGATAGGATGAGTGTTGTCATACATTTCAAAATGGACACAATTGGACTCAGAAGACAAATTAGACACATCATGTGTCATTTATGACCTGGTGGTGGAAATGTAAATATGCATGTTTGGAAAAAAAAACTTTATATACGATTCTTATATGCTTTTTGAACATATGAGAATGTAAAATTCCTACGCATCCGCTAACTGTTATTAGTTCTTTTTTTTAAATTGGGTTGAAATAAGGAGATTTAATGATTCTACGTCTTTATAAGCTGATACGATAGAGGCAAAACTGTATTAAAGTGGAAGAAAGCGAACAAAATAGATAACTAAAAAAAGGAAGACAAGAAGCCCATGGGCCATATAGATCACCTGAGGATTATGCAATAACTTTCCAGTGACTGAATTTGATTCATTTTTTAAGCCAGATGCTACGGCATTCACAATTGTGAAATATGCACCATTGATTATCATAACTATATACTTTGTAGTTGCTTAGTTTGGTTACTTAATACCCATTGGCAGGGTAGAGGAACAAAAATGCATTTTAACTAATCAGTAATAATCAGCAATAATCAGTAGTGCCCCTACCATGCAAGAAACCCTGACCCTTAGGCGTAGATCTACGCATTGCACAGTTTTTGGAAAGACATCTTTGCTTTTCAGAAATATTTGATTAATACCATGGAGCAAATTTTAAACAATTCATTCATTTTCAGTCTGTAAGTACAGCCCCCCCCCCCTTTCTATGGTACCCCTGACCCGGGGGCTTTTAAATTCACAATTCTGGAAGATTAGAGCCCTTGCTCATGACTATATAAGTGTTTCATCTGCTAAATACCAAGGAGCAGAGAAGAAAATTTTCAAACATTTAACATACTTTTATTTTAGAGACCCCCCATTAATATCAAAACATCTGACCCCGGGGCACTAAAATTCATAATTTTAGTAGAGGCGCTCTTACTGATTATTATAAATATGCACTAAGTTATTTTATTTGATACGTAGGAGTAGAGAAGAAGATTTTCAAAGAATTCACGTATTCTCGCAACATAATCAATAGAGCCACTCTCCCCCATAACACAAGAAACCCTGACCATGGGGCCCTTAAATTCACAATTTTGGTAGAGGCACTCTTGCTAATGGTAACTTTGCACTTAATTTATTAGATACCTAGAAGCAGAAAAGAAGATTTTCAAAGAATTCATGTATTTTCAATATATAATTAAAAAGGCTCTCCATAACACCGGGACCCCTGACCCTGGGGTCCTAAAATTCACAATTTTGGTAGAGGCATTCTTGCTTATTGACCGTTAAATTATACCGACACAAATCTTAATTGTAAAGATCACCTTTCATAAAATAAAAATATTCATGTACAGATACGCTAATCATTATTCTCATAACTGAATAAAATCACAATTTATATTTATTGAAAAACTAGAGGATTAAGGACAGCTGCGAATTAGTATGACTGGCTTTCGACGGAGGGATAAGATAAAAAAAAAACCTAATACACGAGGATTAGCCGATGCACAGCGCTTTCTGGGGAACTGTTCAGATCTAATCACTTGATTTTATAGAGAAAAATCAGAAGGAGTATAATAAATATATTTAAATATCTTATTTAGTTAATATTTTTAAACAAAATAATTAAATGAAACACAAAAGAGTTAAGAAGTCTATAAATACATAATCTACAATTATTTCCAATGCACATTAAAATTTGCTACATGTATATGCCACTACCTTTTTAGCAAATAGTTGATAACTATGCTAAATAAATACTTACAACGTTTACTGATACTGTCATGAATCACCCTGTCAGACACGGTACAATGTGTGATGATGTCCAGCTGTAGTTTGTCTATGAAGAGGTCGTACATCTTCTCTGGCTCATTCGGTACATACAGACATCTCTCTCCCTCACTCCTCTCATACCACCAGGACCGGCAGTATTCTGATATCATGTCACGTGACGCCGTGTTCAGAAAAAACTCCAGATCAGTGTCCTCCACCAGACACTCCGTAACAAAGGCGTACATGACGTCATGTCGGATGTCGTCTGATATAAAGGTTTTCACACCGCCACGTGTTTCTGTGATTTCATCAGGAAAATCTACCGAACCGTCATCATTAATATCAGGGAAATATCTGTCTCTGATTTTGTCTTTTGTACTGTTTTCTGATTGTTCATTGAGATTCACCTGATATTTCTCAGTTAATAGTAAGCAATACAATAGACATCGGACATCTGGTGGATAGGTATGGTATTTACCTAATAAAAAAAGGATTTATTAATGAACAGACCAAAATATACTTAAGACTAGTCATGATATTTCATCTCATAACATTTTACAATTCTCTCGCTACATTTAAAATTTTGTTTTATCCGTAAGGTAGATATAAAATCTAAAGTGAATATAAAAAGAGATATTGATTGTTTCGTATCCTGCCTTGTATGTAATTTTAAAATCATTTTACTAGGGGTTTTGTTTTCTTTTCAATTTGTGATGATCGTGTTCGGTGTTAATTTGATACATTTGGAGTTTGATGGAAGCCGAGGTTAATCTAGATGTCTTAAGCACTTGTGTTTTTTCCGCCATTTTATATTATAAATGAATAGAAACTTTTACTCGATATCGGTAGTTTCTATTAACAAGAGGCCCATGAGCCACATTGCTCACCTGAGCACTGATGCTAGGAAAAAGTCGAATTTAGTTTATTATTGAAAAGTTTAAATCCAAAAGTATAGTCCCATGGCCAATCGTGGCTTTGCTATTCTTGAGAAGAAGATTTTTAAAGAATTTTCCTATATATTTCTATGTAAAACTTTGGTTGGCCATTTTGGCCTCGCCCTGCCCCCCGGGGGTCATGATTTGAACAATCTTGAATCTACACTACCTGAGGATGCCTTCATATAAATATGATGAATTATGGCTTTGTCATTGTTGAGTAGAAGATTTTAAAATAATTTTCCTATATATTTCTATGTAAAACATTGGTCGGATTTTTTTGCCCCGCCCTACCCCGGGGGGTCATGATTTGAACAAACTTGAATCTACATTACCTGAGGATATTTCCCTATAAGTTTCATTTTTCCTGGCACAGTGGTTCTTTAGAAGAATATTTTTAAAACATCCAACCAAATTATCCGATTTTCCTAATTATCTCCATTGAATGAATGCGTGGCTCTTTATTTGAACAAACTTGAATCCCCTTCACCCAAGGATGCTTTGTCACAGTGGCAAGTTTGGTTGAAATTGGCCACGTGGTTCTGGAAAAGAAGTCTAAAATGAAAAAAAAAAGTTTACAGACAGACAGACGGACGGACAGACGGACGCCGAACAAAATGCGAACAGTAAAGCTCACTTGAGCCTTCGGCTCAGGTGAGCTGAAAATGTTACAACTTTTTGTATAGTATTAGATATTAATAACATTCAAACATCACATGTATTACGAACTTTTGGTTTCGACTGCCTGCTAATAAGCTTTATTTTTCTTTTTTTTTTTTTTTTGGTGGGAGGGGGGCTAAAAGAAGCCATAACATTTTTTTCCGAATTATCTACTATTTGAAGAATGCGTGACCCTTCGTTTGAGCAAAATTGAATCCTATTTAGCCATGGATACAATGGGTTAAATTGATCCAGTAGTTCTGGGGAGATAGATACATTCGATAATTTTTTTTTACGACAACGGCAATAATGACATACAGCGGAGAAGTTCTGGACCGGAGGTCATTAAACTATGACAAGCTCACTTTTGATTCCAATTTCATTTTTTTCTATTCTTTTCTTTACAAACAAGCTATAATTCAGAGAATTTGTGTCCCCCGCTTAGGGAAAAGTAAACCATGCGGAGTTTGGGGGGAAAGGGGGTCGAATCCTCCTGACTGAATTTGTAGAATTATTAAACGTATACTGAAGGAAATAAAATATGCCAATAGGGATATAAAGATTTGATTGCTTATTCTTTATTATGTGTATAGAAGATTCTTTAATGTGGAATATATATCACACTATGATGATTTTATGAGTTTGTACAATGCAGTTTTTTTTCATTTCACATAATAATTACTATCGTTTAGTTAAGAAAAGTATTTTGGGAAAAAAAAAAGAAAGTGAATCAGCCGGGATTCGAATTCGGGACCACTCCCATGTGAAGCGAGAGACATACCAATAGACAACGGAACCGCTTGCATTCAATGAAAATTATATGCAAACGTGAAGTCACATACACATATATATATTCACGTTCGATATTGTCAAAATTTTACACAATGCATGGTGTCTAATTTAGCCTTTATTAAACAGTTTTAATAGTTGTATTAAGAATGAAAACTCCACCGAGAACCTTTTTATATGTAATAATTCTCGTTATGCCCCTGTGCTAAAAATAGCGACATGTAATACAATAAATACTGATAAAACAAACGGGGCGGGACACTTTGAGAGGGGTGAGAGAGGTCCAAAGGAGTTTTGGTGTAAAATTACATTGCAAAAGCTCAGATCTTCTTGAAATGTCGTCCAGAAACGATAGTGTTACCTGCAGTCAGAATATGTAAATTTACGACCTTGAACTTTGACCTTTTGACCTCAAAATCATTAAGGGTCCTTCGTTGTCCACAGGGAGTTGCTATCTAAAATTTTATTGCAAAAGTTCTAAGGGTTCTCGAGATATCGCATAGAAACGAGAGTGTTATAACAGACAAAATATGGGAATTTATTATCTTGACCTTCGACCTTTTGACCTCAAAATCAATAGTGTTCCTCTTTAGTCCATAGGAAGTTACTATGCAAAATTTCATTGCGAATGTTCAAAGGGCTCTCGAGATATCGTGTGTAAAAGAAAGACGGACGGACAGAAACAAATCAATATCCCCCACTTTTCAAGCGGGGGACAAAAAGTGCAACTGAGATCAAAAGTGAGCCTGTCGAAGTTTTATGACCCCAGACCTGATCCTGAGAGTTATCCAATTAAATCTTCTGTTCAGTTGAGCTAAAATGGACATTTTTGAGCAAAAAATTTCGTGATTTTTTATTTTTCATTATGAAGGCATCAAGTTTGGCTTATCCCCAGTTTCTTTCATGATACCTATGTGTTTTAGCATAAATAATACCTCTACAAGCTGTGTAACAAATCTCTGTATTAAAATATTTTGATTATTCTACTTCCGTGTGTCCAAACCATAGGTTTGATATCGACTATGGCTTGTGTCCCAGTTATAATTAATCATTTTGCCACTTTCTCGACGAAAGAGGGCGTATTAGGCGTGGATAATCCCCCGCTTTGAGACAGAATATTTCTCAATTTTCAAAATTCACAGAAGAATCATATTTTTCTAAAATCATGTTCTCAGTAATGCCACCTTCAAAACATTTTATTTTACTGAATGACTTATTACATGTATTTGATAATCTTGGTTTTATATGTAGTGGAAAATGGGTTTACTAGAGCTATAAAAAATGATTTTTGAACATGAATGGGTCAAGCCTCCATTTTTCGTTAACACTTAAATGATGAAAACGTGAAATCTATTTCATTCGTCCAAAAAATGGAATATGAACCCATGGTATATGAAAATCAAAAATTTCTGAAAAAATTTACGCTTCAACAAACTCGTTCATTAAATCACACTAATAGACGTCGATAATGCATGTTGCATTTGTTTAAGAGGTCGGTCTTGGACCAAACCCTGCGCTCTGGAGAGTGAATGGATCAAACCTGAAGCTTTTTTCACATATCATAAAAAATATGAGTAAAACATGAATTATTAATAAAATATTAAAACAATGAAATACAGTAAAAGATGATATAAATAATATACTTTTGAAAAACTTTTAGAATTGAGAAATGTCTTTCCTCAGAGCGGGGGATTGTTCGCGCCTTGCACCCCACTATTCTTTACCAGATACAATTGTTCTTAGAATATTGTCATCCTTATCTTAGTTAAAAGTTTCATTGAAAATAAAATTCTATAAAAACATGATGTTATTCCTATCAAGACTGCCTTTCAATGATAACATGTTCCATGGCCCCCTATCTGTCTGTCTGTTTGCCTGCAATAAATAACTTTGACCATAACTTTTGATTGAGTTAGGTTATTACTTCCATATATATTTCACAGTTGTATTACCTATGACATGGCCTTATTTTGTATAACAACCATTTAGTATTTTTAACGTTGACCTTTGACTTTGCTGTACGGATACATCAGTGTTTCACAAACGTATCTTTAATGTTGATCTTAGTAGGTAGCTCATAACTTAATAGATAAATTATGATTGACTTAAATTAATCGATTTATGTTGAAATAAAATGTTCGACTAATTTTCTATCGTCGGTGTGTTTTAGACTAAAATTTGGTGGAAGGGGGGGGGGGTTGTTATATACATGTATTGAGCCTGTCAAGTCAAATTCATTCACAGGGACACCAGCGTAAATTAAATTACTGGTAAAGAAATGTAACATCATAAAGCGAGATAAAACTTTAAAATATCTATTCTCTTACTTGGTATTCTGTAAGCTTTGTTGTCGATGATGTAAATATCATTGTGTGGATGTAGACCTATACAGGATCTCACGATGTCAGGTCTCCCGTATCTCCAGAGCCACGTCACGTGATCTACACTGTCCTGTGATCTTCCTCTGTAATGTACAGCCTCCCCTTCTCTTCTTAGATCAGTTAATAATTTTGCTTTTTTATCTTCATTGTCCTTTAGGATATTTATTGAAACATTCACTGTAATATAAAAAAACAAACATTAATTGTTTGAATTGTATCATTTGTACAAAAAAGTAAAACCTAGACTTAGTTAAAAAATGGTAAAACAATATAAAGATACATCTATCTAATCACAAATGAAAAAACAAGAGGCCCATGGGCCACAATGCTCACCTGAGCACTAAGGGTAGGAAAAAGTAGAAAATGGCTTTTTATTGTAAAGTTTAAATCCAAAAGTAGTTCTTTGACCAATCATGGATTTGCTATTTTTTAGAAAATGACTTTTAAAGAATTTTCCTATATATATATATATATATATATATATATATATATATATATATATATATATGTAGGACTCCAAAGTGCGATGGGACTCCAAAGTCCGATGGTCACGCCAAAGTCCGATGGTCTGCGCCAAACCCCGATGGTCTGACACGCCAAAGTCCGACGGTGCGGAAAACAATTAACGTTTATGACGTCATAGTAGCACTGCGCCCAAACCTCAATGCCGCGACATGCAAAGGTCTTTAGAATAAGTATAAATAAATGCGAAAACTAACCCTTAACTCTCAGGCAGGTGCGAGACTAACGCTCGAAAAGTGTGTATTAACAATAACCTAAATATCTTGAGTTGGGGCAAGACTAACCCTAATCACTCGACTTTGGTGCGAGGACTAACCCTAATTCACTCGGGTTGTGCAATACAAGGACTAACCCTAATCAATCGAGTGGTGTGCGAGGACTAACCCTTATATCTCTAGATTGATTGATTGATTGTATATTGTTTAACATCCCTCTCGAGAATTTTTCACTCATATGGAGACGCCACCATTTGCTGGTGGAGAGCTGCAAATTTTGTCCTATGCTCGGCACTTAGGGCCATTAAGCAGGGAGGGATCTTTTTCGTGCCAGCACCTACTGTGACACGGGGCCTCGGTTTATACAGTCTCATCCGAAGGACCGGCCTCCACGTCCCGCAGAATATCTCTAGAAGGTGCGAGCAATAAGCAAAATCAATAATAAAAATTGTGTTCAAGGACGAATTCAGAAATGATTGCTTTTGAATGCAGGACAACGGCGTCAAGGATTGACGTTGGATTATTGTGACGTCATAAACGTTGATTGTTCATCCGCACCATCGGACTTCGGCGTGTCAGACCATCGCACTTTAGCGTCGCGCGTCTCATAGGAAACGAGCCATC